GTGTGTGTGTGTGTGTGTGTGTGTGTGTGTGTGGTAGCCTATCTATTTTTAAAATTTAGAGCCCCGAAGAGCGTGCTCTTCACCAGGGCCACCGCCTCTATTGTTGATGTTTGTTTGGTAGTGGTGATGATGATGAGTGCTCAACGGTAACGAATATTTTAGATATGAGCTCATCTGTGTGTATTTTTGTGCGTGTGTGTGTGCGCGCGCGCGCGCGTGTGTGTGTGTGTGTGTGTGTGTGTGTGTGTGTGTGTGTGTGTGTGTGTGTTTTAGTCAGTGCTCAAATTGCACTGTATATTTCACATATGACATTATGTTTGTGAGAGAGAGAGAGAGAGAGAGAGAGTGAGAGTGTGTGAGAGAGAGAGAGAGAGAGAGAGAGAGAGAGAGAGAGAGAGAGGGGGGGAGGGTTTTGTTTTCGTAGTCCAACGAAGTAACACTATTAATCCGTAGGCTGGTGCGGGTAAACATTTACGGAGTAGCTTTTGAGTATGATTGTGTGTATTTGTTAGGCCTCTCATATATCATTTTAGCACATAATGTGGATGCTCCTTCGTATTTCATATGTGAGGCAGCGTGGTGGAATCAGGCCCTGTCAAATTTTGGGCATGTAGAGTTATTGGTATCATCTTAAAGCTTATTCATTTGTCTTTATTTAGATGAAAAAAACATCCATTTGTCTTGAATACAAGTCGAGATATTTGCGAATGAAGGAGGTGGGGGTCACCTGTTTTCAGTGGTAAAATTAATGAGAAAATGGCCGCCAAAGATTAGTTATTTCTTTAGCTTAAGAGTCCGTCGGAACTGAAATTTTACATTTTTTGTGCCTTTAATCAACGTTTTTAATTAAAATCCACACAGAAATGAGTTCTTTAAAGGGCATGAAAGGTGTTGAGCCAGGAAAAAAATTTGATAAAAATTCACAAACCTGCGGAAAAATGCCAGTTTCTTCACTTTGGTTATTTTGACGAGAGCCTGATTCCACCACGATGCCTCACATATAAGAGCGACTCGCCTATTCAAAACCTCCGTCTCATCAGATAACCTTTGCTGAGAAAAAATGGTCGTTATGATAAAGATATAAAGAGATAAATGGATTGTTCTTTTAGAAAAAGCCTGGAAAAACAAATGAAAGTATCAATTGTTCAGGGAATGGGCGGGATATGGGCGTCGGGAATGGGTCTGGGGATGGGAAGCAACAAATCCGTGAAGGACGAACCTGCCATGCCAGGGCTCCAATCCTCGAGGGGCTTCACACATTTTGTTGCTCGGCCACGGAGAATGTGATGGGCAGCTAATTTCACTTCCCGGCTCTGTTATTGAGAGTTATAACCGCGAAAGGTAATAAATTATTCATCCCTTGGAAGCTTTTCACGGGCCAGAAAATCCGCCTAGCGTGCGCAAGCTCTTTGTTTGTACGAGGTCGATCGTGAACACTGATAAATCGCAAGATTTGGCGGTCACTTTTTTCCCAGAAGGGTGTCGTGGAGCACACGGAATGGTAGGACAAAAAAAAAGAAAAGAAAAAAAACCCCTCAGCAAACAAACAAACAAACAAACAAACAAACGACATAAAGTTCAATGCGCTATGTTCTTAGTTTGTTGAGTGATTGTTCATATCGTCGGCCTTCTGTTCTGAGTGTTCATATGTAATTAGCTTAACAATTGTCTACCACTTTATTTTCATTATCAGTATAATATTGGTTGCATGTGCACAAAAAATGTAATTTGTCAAAATTCTAATTCAAAATATAGGAACGAGCAAAGAAAAGATATATAATGTAGAAACAGTTTACAACAAAAAATAATTCTGAAAGGGTTTTTTTTACCTCTCTCTTCTGGTTTTTTTTTTTTTTTTTGCTTCTTATGGGATTTGCACACTTTTTAAGAACTTTTCGACGACATACCTTCGTGTATATCTCTTTCTTCTTCTTCTTCTTCTATCCCGTGGTTGGGGCAACCGTTGGGGCACCACGGCACTGGAAAACCAGCTCTCGCCATCTATGTTTGTCCTCTGCTCTCCTCAGATTGTCACCCATCGTCTTTCCTGTCTACTCTGTAATGTTGTCCTTCCATCTCCTTCTCTGCCTTCCTCTCTTTCTCTTTCCTTGTACGGTTCCTTGCAGGATTGTTTTGGCAAGTCCTGTGGATCTTGTGACATGCCCATACCATTTTAGTTTTCGTCTCTTCACTGTGGTCAGTAGATCTTCATATTGCCCCACTGCGTTGGTGATTCTCTTTCGTGCCTCTTGCACTTGGATAAACAGCACACATACAATTTATCTATTGCTTTCGTATGATGAAACCATAACAATAAGAATTACAGCAACTCTACTATTACTACTACTACTACTATTACTACTACTACTACTACTACTACTACTACTACTACTACTACTACTACTACTACTACTACTACTACTACTACTACTACTACTACTACTACTACTGCTACTACTACTACTACTACTTCTACTGCTACTACCACTATTACTACTACTACTACTATTACTACTACTACTACTACTGCTGCTGCTGCTGCTGCTACTGCTGCTGCTGCTGCTGCTGCTGCTGCTGCTGCTGCTTACTTTAACTTTACTTTTTCATCCTCCGTTGCCGTTAAGCGTCGATATTATGTTTTCTCAAGGTTTTCTTGACACTCTCAATCCACATTTTGCGTGGCCTTCCTGTTCCTTTATAGCCTGAGTGCTTGGTGTCGTAAGATCTCGAAGCTGGCTGGCCAGGTGACATACGAAACAGGTGGCTAAACCATTTTACTCTCCGTCTTTTTTTGTAATGCAGGCAGCTGCTCTCTTTTTATTTCTAGGCCTGTCTCGTCTTGTGATGTTAAGGGTTTTGCGGAAACATTTCATTTCACTAGCAGTGATTTTGCTTTCTTGGGTTTTACTTAATGTCCAGGTCTGGCACTGGTAGCATAACGTTGGTACAAAAATATTGAGGCGAGAAGCTGTCGCTTTGCGTCCATGGAGATGTTTGGATGAGCTATGAGGGGTGCGAGCTAGTGACAGCGTTGGTTTTTTGAGTTCGCATTTCTTTTTCTCTGTCTATGGACCCGTTTTCAGAAAAAGTGCTACCAAGATATTTTAACTCCTTCACCTGTTTCAGCTGTATACTATTGACATGGATGTTCAGGGGACTATGGTTTCGGCTCAATTCCATAACTTCTGTTTTTTATGTGCTTATTTTCAAATTGAATTCCACACTGCTGTTGTTCAGTTCGGTAGTGTGATTTTGGAGGCTTTTTTGCTTTGGATAAATAAGACATTGGTCGTCTTCGAATAGAAGTTCATTTAGGCTTTCTGGGCTTTGATTTGCGTCTTGCGTGATTGAATCCATATATATTATAAACTGGAGGGGAGATAAAACGCATTCTTGTCGTTGTCCAGATCTTACTTTGAACCAGTGTGTATTGCTTTCCTTCGTTCTTACTGTGTTTCTGCCGCTGGTATATAGAGCTAAGACATTATCTAACATTTGTCCTGTGACGCCATACTTTTCAGGTGTCTTCCAGAGTTTGCCATAGTTTTCTCTGTCAAAAGCCATCTCCTGGTCTATGAAGACGATGTGGGATTCGTTATTGTGTTCGATTGTTTTCTCGTATATCTGTCCTAATGGGAGTACAGCATCCATGCATCATCATCCCTTTCGGAATCCAACTCTCTCAACAGTAGGTATTATCCGCTGTTCTAATATGTGATGCAGCGTGGTGGAATCAGGCTCTCGTCAAAATAATCAAAGTGAAAAACCTTGCATTTTCCCGAAGGTTTGTGAATTTTTATCCATTTTTTTTTGGGCTTAACACCTTTCATGCCCATTCAAAAACTCATTTCAGTGTGGATTTTTCTGAAAAACCTTTATTAAAATTCACAGAAGATGTAAATTTTCAGTTACCACGGACTCTTAAGCTAAGGGAGTAACTAATCTTTAGTTGCCATTTTCTCACTAATTTTACATCTGAAAACAAGTGACCCCCACCTCCTTCTTTCCCAAATATTTCGACTTGTATTCAAGATAAATGGATATTTTCTCAACGAAATAAAGGGAAGTGAACAAGCTTTAAGATAATACCAATAACTCTACATGCCCAAAAATTGACGAGAGCCTGATTCCACCACGCTGCCTCACATATCTTGGCGTATATTTTCCCTGTGTGGCCTAACAAGGAGATGCCTCTCTATGTTGTGCAGTCGCGTGTGTTGCCTTTCTCCCATAATGGGACCACCATGGCTTTCGACCATTGGTCTGGGCATTTTCTTTGCTCCCGGGTTCTACTGAAAATTGGCCTCAGCCACAGTTCACCGGTTACTACTACTGCTCACCACTCAAAATGCCCAAATCTAAGATTCAAAATGGGGTTATGCGCTCCATAGTCCAGCAGGATTTCAACTGAGTTAATCTTATCCTTGGTAGAAACAGTGAAAAGGAAAGTGCAAATAACAAAATATAAAATATGGGAGTGCTTATTTAGGCCACATATGGCCTAAATAAGGTAAGGGAGGGGGGTTTAGCTTATTTAGGCCACACATGTTCAAACTACCCTTTTCAGGCAACTGAGTTCATTCCA